ATATTATTATGCGTGTGTTATATCTCATACTTTTGTCGAGCGATCGGGTATTTCACGCTGCCCTGTTACTAAAATTCAAAATTCCTCGCAAACAGGCAAGAAGCTGCCGGTGCCCTAATAAACGGTGCTTGGACCACGACTGGTTTGGACAGGCGTCCCAGTGTCCAAGCCAACGTCGACGCAAGTGCACTCTTCAGAATTTGGCCTTATCGTGGATTCTAACGCCCAGGAACTTCAAATTTAGCCTTCCTTGAATGCGATGTGTATCTGCGAGGCAATAAAGCTACGTTTAACCTGAATTGCACAATTTCGTTTCAGAGATTTGTGGCTCGGGACCCAAATGTAAAGGATAAACCTTTAGTCCCAGGCGTCTAAATCTAAGGGCGCAACATTTAGACCCAGGGGTTCAAGTACAAGGGCCTAACAGTTGGTCCTCGGGGTTCATTTGAAACGGTGTAACAGTTAGTCCCAAGGGTCTAAGTGCAAGGGCATATCAGTTGGTCCTCAAGGTTCAATTGAAACGGTGTAGTAACACTTGGTCCCCAGGGAACAGTTGTTCCCTGGGGACCAAGTGCAAGGGCTTAACAGTTAGTCTCCAGGGGTCAATTGCAATGGCGCAACATTTGATCTCTTCGGAGGAACTGCAACAGACTAATAGACAGGTGCAACTGTTACTCCCCTTCCCGTTAGTCCCCGAGGGGACTACTTGTTGTGGCAACGCACTTGCTCCCCTTGGGGAATAAATCGCGCTCCTTTTTTTCTTAGAGTGTAGTTTCCAAAAGTCAACAAAGACCAAAGGGTTAACACCAAATATACCCGCCTGTGTGTGTCCTTTTTTTTCCTTTTAAGTTTTCTTTCAAATGTATTAACACGTCACGCTTGGAGCTAACAATCTGCTGGTGACGACCTCCGGATTCGTCACTCAGACCCCACCTTTTATCGGAAGCTATGGTCGTTCCGTCAGCGGAGGCCAATGCTTGGTACAGTTACAATGGATAATTGTTGGGCTCGAGCACGTTTTCAATGGAGCGCAGGATCACCCTCAGTCAAAGGAGCTAGATCCTGTTAACATTATATAACTGTGGTAATCTACATTAAGCTTCCTTTTCTTAAAAAGTTTTCTTGCAAGCTCGTTCAATAGAGTTTCCTTCACCTTCCTCAGTATGCGTTCGTTGTTTCATCCTAAAAATCGTGGCGCCCAGTTTTCTGTTAGGTGGAGCCAGTTATTTTTTAACTGGTAGATTCTGATTTCGGAATTTTGACCTCAATATATCAATAATGGTTTTAGCTGGTGCGAAAGAGGGGGGGGGGGGGGGGCAAGGGAGCGGATTTTAGAAGCTTTTTTGTTGACAATCTTCTGTGCTTAATGTGTTCCTTTCTTGACCTTTCTAATTTTGATGACAAATTGAATGTACAGGTGCTCCTCCTCGCCTTTGACTGGGAAGAGAAAGTACTCTCTCTTGGTTTTTGATCCGCGACAGAGGCTGCTGTTCCCGAATTGATATTTGTTATGAGCGTGCACTTTGTCCTTCACCCGCGCACTCATCAGCAAAACTGGCTGTCTGATCAACTTCTGGTTCGGCAGTTAGGGATATGCGGATATGCAATGTCGAAATATGTATTTTCAAGTCCACTGAGTTTCACTAAAACATATTGGGAATCATTCGGAGCTCGTCATGAGTTGAGTCTGCCGCCAAATTAAAGCACGGCAGATGCCATGTCTACAATAGGTGAGCCCCTTCCGTTTCTAATATCTTTCAAGATCCGTTCGTTGCAGATCCCGAAATACTAAGTAAACTCCGATTGCCGCAGTTAAGGCGATTCCTTAATGCGATAAAAATCGCAGCATAATGTGACAGAATGTGATAACGATCACAGCATAGTGATGCCACCACAAGTAAAGCACCCCCTTTTCTATTTATTCTTTATATCAGCTAACAACATAGTTGCCACGTATCTTCAAAAATAATTCAATTACGATTTCAAAGTACTTCTAGCAAAAGTAACTTGAACACTGCTCTAAATACATTTTCCAATTTGTATTTTGTACCTTATCGTAAATATTCCTCATACTGAGTATTTGGCAAAACACTGTTATTTTTCAACACTGGGAAATACCTATATAGCAGGAAAGCAATATTGAATATATAAATAAGGGAAGAACATAAAAGACGAGGACGGACAAGATGTCCTCGTATTGTCCCTACTGGTATTTTATGTTCTTCCCTTATTTATATTTTACCCCTACCAGCGCGCTCTTCATGCCAATCAATAATTAATATGCTCACATAAAAAGTGCATTTCCACTTTACTATTTGCCTAGCTTTCACACAAGATTGCAATAATCGGTTGTCAGAGTTATGTACGGGAAAGAACACGCGCCGAGATCTTTGAGTGTGTTATCTTCCCAAAAGAATCATAAACGACACAGAAATAAAGTGCTCTGAAATCACTTATAAGCGATATTTTCTTAAAGTTTATTATTGATAATCAGGCATTTTGGATGAAGCCTAGATCTTGACGGATTTCCAGATTAGGGAATCTTAATCCGTTTCTATATATCTTAGTTCTCTGAAAGAAAACAAATAGAGCAATATTATGAAATTGTAATCAAACTAAATGCAACTCCCTTAAATACATATTAGATTGGATTTATAATATGATCACATAAAGTACATAGGCGATTATTCAAGCACTACGCACATCTTGAGTCAACTATACTTAACAAATGATTATCGAGCGTAAGTGGGAAGAAGCTACAAGCATCTTGCTAACGGCTAATAAGTTCAAAACAATCCTCAGCTCGAAGGGAACGATTAAAAAAGATTAATTCATCATGCAGTGTTTCTTGGATTTTGTATCGGGGCTTTACGCCATTCCGGTGTAGTGAACCTTTTGAAACATTCTTGCACTTCATAACAACGCACAGTTGAATTTCGTTACATGTACTTAAGAGATAATATGGCCTAACTGGAAAGTGCAAAAAAAATCACCTTTTCTAAAGAAATCATGTTGTGTCATCTTAGAAAGACGGTTTTAAAAGGAAGCGGACTAGAATAAATATCCTACCAGCTGGAAATTTGTACCGCCCTCTGCCCAGTTGTAAAGTGTCTTCTAGTACGAAAAAGACGGTTAAAACGTGATACGAGCAAATAAAACAAAAACACCTACACCTCAAATCTCTGTACCTCTCAAAGGACAAGTTTTCCCCGTTAATATAGGAGCTGCAACAGGGTGCCCTAAATATTGACGCTCTGATACTGACGTCAATAAATTCCGTTTTGCATAAAAACTTCCGCTCCCAAAGGAAGTAGCAATAAAATGGAAGAGGACTGAAACAAATATTGAAAAATTAAAAGTTTACTTATACATTTACTTTTCAAAACTATAAAAATATTTTGAATCTCTGTAAAAAACATATATTTCGTATCATAGCGGTTTTTTGTTTACTATTCCTTCTATTAACAGTGTGCAGCACAATACAATAATTTTGATATTTCATTGTTTTGACAGCTAGTTGTACATAGCAAATATTTGGGGCGGTTCAATTATTTGTATGTTTTAACACTGAGCTTACATCTGAAATAAACACATCTCAAGTTTTCTCCAACCTATAAAAAGCGAAGATATAGATGTGGAGCTTTTAAAACTCGTTTTTTATCGTGTGCTACATTCACTCGGATGTGATGGATAATATATTGAGTTAATTGTACAAGTGTGGTCGATTATTTCAACGATTCACGGCAGAAAATTGGCTAAATAGCATGTCTATTGATACAGTGGAAGTGAGGTAAAATATGTAAAACAAACTTTAAAAGCACAAAAAGCCTATATGTTGAACATTTTACGACATATAATTTTTGTCCGCCGCATATTAGTACGAAATGCGGTGGTGTTAAACATTTGTGAAAATAAGTAATATATAGCTTGCCGGACAAATCAACAAAGCCGAAAGCGCGAAATATCTCCCACTGAAATCTTAGAATCATATTTTCTGCAGAGCGTCATTAACACGTATGGATCATCTCTTTGTTTAGTGAGCATTTCAATTGTTCAAAATTTGCTGCTATCTCCTTAAACTATTTCATAATTTTAAAGCTTCAGCGTAATTATGATGTTCTGAGAACGCTTGAGCCCAGTTGCTTTCTTTTTTTAACTGAAATGGTCCGTATTAAAATTTTAAATTCAGAGTTAATTTGTGTAGACACAAAGATATTCTAAATGAATTTGATGTTTTGAATAAATTACTAAAATTGTTTGACCATAACTACTGGATCAAAATACGTTGGCCATTTCGAAAGGATATTTTAAGTGGGCGCTATTATGCAAATGGCATCACAATCGTAAAATAGCATGGGTCTATTCTGTCTCAACGCACAAAATACTGATTTGAATTCGTGCCCGAAAGTTGAATGGCACACAAGGCGCTGTAAGCATCATATGCTTGACTTAATGCTCTTGAGTTCTTTGTAATGCAATGCTTTGTAATGATAAGTCTAACCATATTCATTATATTTTTGAAGTGATGAAGCATTTTGAGCGCACAGGCCGTCTACACGTTAAACGCCATACTTATGTTGCAATGTCTCACGATAGTTGTTACAACCATATAGACGACTCAGAAAACTGGCGACGCTATATTGCCTAATGAGGAGCAGTAAACGCAATGAGTCAGCACATATCGAAGCAATCCACCCGCCATGCGCAGCTTGCCGTTGACCGTTTACACATCAAAATGACCAAGACTGCTAAAAATAAACTCAATGAAGTAATTCTTTTTCTAAATTATTTTTGGCTAATTTGAACAGGGTTGGAGAATTTTATGTACATTGTCTTTGGGTGTGCTGCTTTTTTAACGCTAGAAACAAGTTTATACGAATAAAGCAGTCTAGATTTCTATAGCACTTTTAACATTGCATGCTAGTATTTTACTTTAGCTGTTATGAAAACAAACGGTGAGCGGGTTTTCTTGAACAGAGCTTTTAAAAGAGCAGACTTACTTTTGCAAAGACTCTCGCAGGTTTCCTTGTTCCAAAAATAATTTTGCCTCTTTGGGCATTTGTTTGCTTTGAGCTTTTTACATTTCTTGGTTTCCTTGTCAAAGAAGAATCGGTCGGACGTTTCTCTACACTCATCTTTTTTAGATGCAAACTCACACATATCCATCTTTGAAACGCCTGCAAATCAGTTTATTAAAAGTACAACAAATACTGATATAAAGTTATGCAGCTGATAGCGGGGGGCCGCAGTGGCACCTGACAATGAATATTTGCATTGTAATGACCTTGAGCTACCCATACAGTTATGCCCTAGTTGGCGCTTTAGAACAACGAAAATCATTAAAAAGAATTTCAATAACTATAGTGCCTGCAGTGTGGCCTGAGTATAATATCAAATGCATAGAAAGAGCCAAGTTCAGACAGTCGAAACACAAAGGCGAAGTAAATTACCCCTCAGGCACAAATCCACTGATCTCGCAGTACGAGCCTGAAAACGTGTTAGATCACAGGTACGCACATCGCACAAAATTTGAAACGCTTGCACTGGCAGCAAACATTTTGCCGTAAGGACTTTGATTCTTCGGGGCGAAGTTGAGCTGCCTTAAATAAGTATCGCTCATTTCAGTGAAGCGTGTACTGTAACTTTACAGTTTCAAAGAATTTTTTGTTCTCTTATACAAATAGCGGCTGGTTCAGCGAAGGTTTTCGAAAAGCCCTAAAATTAGTGTGGTTAAGAGAAAAAATAAACTTTTATTTCGAACAAATTGCCAGTCACGGCGGACCTCAAGAATGGCAAAGAACATACTAATTAGCTAAATATTTAACGAAGGCTTACTGATTAACTTTGTAATGTGTGAAAATAAACATAGGGTTCAAATGAGAAACTTGCTAAGCATAGTTAAAAACCACTAAATCAACTGGTATTTGAAATCTAAACGGCAAAAACAGCATTTTACGACGTTAAAAAAAGAACGCTAAATATGGACGCATTTGTAGGTTTTAGTTTCTTCTCGGAGCGCATATTTGCACCAACGGTCCTGCTACCTGGTGGCCGAGGCGCGAAGTCACCGCCTTGCCTCCCTCGTGGGTTGGGAGGAAGTATGGCGCATGTGTGCTGGCGCACTCGGCCACTGCGCAGCAGAACCGCTGGCGCAAAGGTGCCACCAGTAAGACATCCGGAACGTATAGAAACGTAGCCGAACTTACCATTTTTCAGAAAGCCGTAAAATGCTTCCCCTACCATATATTTTTAAAAATTAGTCGATTTTGTGGTTTTCGATGACGCTTAGCAAGTTTTCCGTTGGAACCACATGTTTATATTCACTAATTTATAAGTAAATGAGTTTATTTTCGTGAATTGTTTAGTGAATTAGTATGTTTTTTTTTAGTTCTTGACGTCCACTGTTACTTTTAGTTTGCTCCCAGAGAAGTGTTTCCTGTCAACCACCCTACCACCATATTTAAAGTCTTCGTCGAAACTCCCTGCATAGGTAATTTACATAACACCAAACAAACACCGCAGAAAAAATCAAAGGTTTCTAAATAGTAGATGCCGCATATATATATATATATATATATATATATATATATATATATATATATATATATACTGTAACCGACTTAATCTTCGCGGGCTCCAATTTTCTTGAATCGGGCTAAGCTGAAAATTTAAAATGATTCGCGGGTTCTAATTTTCGCGAATCGAGCGTAGCTTCTGTAACGTTCACCTATTGCGCGAATTGTTCGCGGGACGTATTTTTCGTGAATTGAAGGCGATCCGCGAAATTTGAGAAAATTAGGTCCCCGCGATAATTTTGTCATTTATATACATATATATATATATATATTGTACAGATGTGTGCATCAATGATACACAGTCTAACTATTTATTTACGTAATATTGGAATGTTACAGCTCTATTTTCAATTTACAGCTCTATTTTCAGTTTCCATTGAAAATAGAGCTGTAACTGGCCTTTTTCAGACCTCAGCATTAACTAGCCACCCAAGACTTATTTCGCAGAACAATCGCATTACTGGGCGTCGCAGAATATTGGTCGCTTCAACGATCGGTTTATTTTGATCTTGTTTGGTGTTAGTGTGATGTGGGATTAGTTAGGGTTAACACCATAACTTCCTACATGTTTTCGTTTCAAATGGGACTGAGTGAGCTTACCGCGTATATATATGTTTTAAGTGAAAATCCGTAATCATGTTACAAGTAAGAATGGACAAACAATATTGTACTAAGGAAACAAAATTTAGGCGCTCCCGTTCATCTTGGGCGGCAGCTAATTCATAAGATATGCTCAAACGAAACAAGAATAAACATAAGTACATATTTGTATCCTCCATGTATTCTCACAAAGGAGAGGTGATGCTTAGAGCAATAAAGAATTCAACTGTAGAACGGAAGCTTAAAAAAAAAATACATTTTTTTACGTACAGTTGAGGATTGGAACTAGCTACCCTCTAAGCACCTCATGTTTCAGCCAAGGCGTTTACAAAATCCTAAAATAGTATAGTTCAGAAAAAAAAGAAGAAACTCTTTTGCAGGAACAAACTGCCAGTCATGCCGAACTCAAGGTATTAAAAAAGAAACCCATACAAATTATTTCTATAATTATCTAAATCTTACTATCTTTAATTCATGAATATACACATACTGTTTCAGTTAGAGACTTGCTGAGCATAATCACAAACCTCTAAATAAACTAATATTGGAAAGGTAAAGGAGACATAAAATATTCTACGGCATTTCAGAAAAAAAGTTCTAAATTTCGACGTATTTACATACTTTGTTTGACCTTAAGTCCAGATGTGGCAGACGCTATAATGTGATGGGACAAGTCAGACAGCATAAGAAGTGCACAATCATGGCGTTCCCCCTGCTTCTGCGCGTGTTGTGTGATCAATCATCCAATCACGAACCAAAAAAAAAACCTAGCAATTTGCGTTTTTTACGCTGCATGATCGGTCACTTTACCACGTAACGTCGGCGTGGTCCAGACTTGAGCTTAAACAAAGTATGGGTTTCTGTTTCCTAGTGAAGTGCATCTTTGCGCGAGCAGTCGATCGCGCCACTTCGTCCGTGCCACGCTTGCTTTAATCCTACGAAGGAGGCGATGATCGCGGCAGCTGCAAGGATTTCTGCTGTGGAAATTTAACTTTAAAATGAGGCTTTCAAATCACTTAAGGCAGGCTTTCACTGTATTTACACAAATCTTGGTAATTTTTTTAATAAACAAAGTCAGTTCTTCTATTTTTGGTGCAACCATTGTTTATTAACACTTCTGCATTATAATTTTAATAAATGATCACTGCTTATGTTGTCTTGTGAAATAAAAATGCAGTTTTTAAGTTGAAATCAATTATGTCAAATCTCAACCATGTAATGTCTCTGATGTCAATAAGAACTACTAATATCTCATTGTTTCATCTATTGATTGCGTGCTATTACCTTCACATGTCGAAGTGCAGGAGCTCTCATCGAAGAAATTATTTTTGTTTCCATAACATCCACCATAATCAAACGTTTCGCATTTCTCGGTTGTCATATTATAAAAATATCGTGTTATCAATGCTCTGCATGGTCCTTCGTCCATAACTTCAGTACATCTCTTTTGACCTAAAGGTACGAGTATTTTTTTAAGAAAGTACATGTTACCGTATCTATAAATTAGTTTAATCTTGGTATCGCGCAGAATAAAATTAGTCATTGCCCTTCTTTATCCGTTTTTATCCAATGTGCCTAAGAAATTATATAATACAGCCCCATTTCAGGAAAACACCATAGCATGTTTTAGATGATATTTAAGAAGTAAATTTCTTCACGACATTTCGGATGAGAAGCAAGGTGAAATGCTAAATTTAGCCTGGTTGATTTTTATTCCCACCTTTCTTGGTTGTTATAAATTGCTAAAAACGAAAACAGTCACAGTAACCTTTCTTGTAAATGTCTGACGAATGGCTTATTGCAGCTTTGAAGCCCAACCTACTAAACGTTTTTCCGCAAGGTAGGAAAATCATTTTCGCCACCCTTCCCCATTTCCTCCTCTTCCTCGGCTATTTCGGAGGCGGGGCGACTACTTTTGTTTCTGCATCTTGGGGCTAGATAAACCGGGATAAGCTCCCGGCGTATGCAATCCTTAGATGCAGCAACATAGGAGTCCCCCTTCGTCCAGATACTAGTGGGAGAGGAGGAAAGGGGAAGGGTGGCGAGTTGGATATTCCCTTCCTGGGGTAAACTACTTTGTAGGTAGGTCTTCAAACGCCGACCTGCAAGATATTTTTCAACCAGGGAGAAAATCCTCCTCGGAATTTCCCCTCCCCTCCTACTTTAAACTTGACTCCTTTTGTTGCTGCCTCTTGGGGCTGGATAATCGGGGAGCTTATCCAGCCCCTAGATCAAGTAACAAAGTAGCCCCGCGGAGTCAAGATAGCAGTAGAAAAGGGGAAATGCAAAAGGTGGTAGGAGAACTTTCACCCTAGTTGAAAGATATTTTGCAGGTCGGACTTTAAGCTAAACTACTTTGGCATTTATCATGCGAAATCACAAAACAATGCGTCGCATCTTTGACGTTTTGGGGATATATCTGGGGCCTTGTATCTTAGGATTCATCAAACTTTTAGTTTCTTAAATACCATACTAATGTCGGGTTTTATTTGTTCTATCGCCTTTACCCATTTCAGTTTATTTATTTTTACTAACTTGCATTTTTTAGTTTTGTGAAAAAATTGCTATATTTTGAATTTGCTTTATTAAAAAGGCAATTTCTTATTTATTTCCCATGTTTAACTGTTCACAGTAAGGTTCAATTTCTCTGGGTGTAGTTAATGTTCCCCCTTTTTTGTTGTATTTTCTGTAGAAGTGCTCAAACCTACATACATGTACACGAATCGGCAAAAGGGTAGTTTCACCAGTTGGTCTCACTGAAAGGTTTTTTAGCCTTAAAAGGCTAAGGGAAGGTGGGTCGGGCGTGTTTGGGAGGTGAAGAGGCGTTAGAGTAATGGAGCCAACGCATACGTTTATGTGTATACAAAAATTGCCTGCCTTGGCCAAATTATTCTGGGGCATGAGAGGGGTGGGTACGTGATTGCGTGAAGAGTAGATAATGTAATGAGCAGCAGATATTTTATTTCATCCACCTGTAAACTGAGGATGACTTTCTTGTGTTCTCACGATCCTTTGAGATGGGCCCACTCGCCCGGCGCCCTAGTCTGTCATATTGTTTTAAAGAGGTGTTTGAGAGGCGGGAGGGGTTTGGCTTTATATCGACGTGCCCCCATTAGCAAAGCATGTCTGCCCCTACACCTTTGTCGAGCTGACGTTACCGGCAATGTATGCTTTGTATTATTATTATTATTCATTATTCTTAATATTATAATTATTATTATTTAAGTTAGGACGCTTAAGTCGGTGTGTATATTGGTGCCTATCTCAATTTAATACACCAGGTGATATTTTCTAATGGAAACATAATTAACAAAAAGAGTAGAAACTACTAGCAGAATGGCGGTCTTCCCTAAACGCTTCTCAAGTTCGGCGGACATCTTAAGAGCGGATAACCGCCACAGTCTGCTGAGTAATTAACACTAAATTGTGACTCTACCGAAAAATCCGGTATAGCTTTTTGCTATCCGGATTATGGAACCGGACATTATCTGGATTCTATCTGGATTCTATCTGGACTTTATTGGAATATAGGTTTTCAGAAATTATTCCCTTGTCTGCAATCTGGATTTTGGATTTCCAGTAACAAATTTCCGGTTCCATAATCTGGATAGTAAAAACTTATACCAGATTCTTCGCTAGGGAAATCATTAATAATTAGCGAAAATGAACAAATAGTTTCAATTATTACCTTGCTCAGCCTTACGGAAAAGCGCTAAGTGAGTTAATATTTGGAGGAATTAAAGCACATAGGAAACGCGGGTTGCGCCATAGTTACCGCTCGTACAGCAGATGCAAAGTTAGCGATGGGGAAACGCGAATCACTAGATCATCTTTCGCGTTCTCCCTCCGCTAGCTTGGTGCCTGCTGCACGAGCGGTAACTTTGGTGCGCCCCCGCGTTTCCTACTTGTTTCAAGTCGAACTAAACTTCACTGATGTACTTGCTTTCGATTACGCTTAGCAAGTTTCTGATTGAAAGGTTATTTTTATTTTTATTACCTAAAAGTTAATTCAGAAATACTAGTTTATTATCCTACTTATCCCGAAGATTATCAATATAAATAATGTCACTCTGGACGTAGAATTAACCTGCACAACCGCATTAGGTAATGTTTTACGGAGTTTTTGTAAGAAATATCTTCATAATGAAATCACGCAGCCTGTATTATATCTTTTATCCCTCATATTGCCTGCTTTCTTCAATTCGTCATGTTTTTCTCCTCCCAAAGTGCCCCGACTCAATCCTAACGCTTCTTAAAACAAAGATATATATCTACAAACGGCACCCCGGGTGCTGTCGCTAGCGTTCCAGCCGCTTTGCTGCTCCAGCTGTTTACACTCGAACCTGTGTCCCGTTCTAAGAATGACTGACGTCCACATATTTGGTCAAATATCACAGAATAAAATATATCAAAATGAACGGTTTTCTATTATGATACACATCAACATCGGTCTGCTGATGTCAGCTTTGCAAATATCTCATGGGGGTCAGTTCTTGCTTTGAAATTTAATCTTTGAGAGAATACAAAATCAAATACAGATATTGGTACAGCACACCTATGCACATAAGGTTTGCTTTCAGTGTGTCTTCATTAATATTAGACGGACTCAATAATGTTCAGTAATAACCGTCATGGCTTTCAGCAACATAAACTAGGTATCCCAAATATACCTTGTCATCTGTCTATAATTACTACTTTCTTTTTGCAAACATTATTTACGTTCACAGCATGTTTTATGCTTGCAATTTGAATAAAAAATTGAAACTCTTCCTTGTGCAGTACTCAGTGGCAAAGCTCAATACTCGGACGCTAACCTCAGTCGTATGGTAAAAATGTCACAATTTTACACATCAAAAGGAGTGTGCAGCTGTGTCCATTTTCACAGCAGGTTCTTTGATACTTCAGGAATTAATTGGGAATTACTGTAGCGCTGACAGAAGTGAGTATCAGGAGCTGTCATCTTTCCCTCTTGAGCAACGACTTGACATTTTTTTGTATGCTCATTTACACACAACTCACCACACGCAACGCAGGGAGAATAAGCTGGAGTGTCTAAGTTGTTTGGTTTTGTCTATAAGGCAATTTATCTGGTTCCCAAAACAAACACAGCTCATCTGAATGCCACTTATAGCCTGTCTCCCTTTTTTCAGACCTGACTGCTTGAATTTCGTGCTATATGCAGACAAGAATCTCCGTGGGGTCGTGTTGAGTTCACCGCAAGGAGTTCCTTCCTTAACGTCGCTAAGGATATCATGCTTGGAAACTATACTTGGGCACAAACTTGAGCTCAACTTACTGGAATATTCATTTTGATATATCTTCATTTTATGTAAACAATCGTAAGGAGACTTCATCAAATCTGTGAACGGCTGCCATTGATAAATCTGGACACATGTAAACTGTGGCGTTCGAAGAGCGGAAGGGTAGGGGCAGACAATTTTGCATCGTGGGACCGCGGCACCTCGCACTGTACTTGGTAGTTTGTATTTAGGCAAAGAAATAAGCGCTAAATTCTTGTTTTCATAGTCCTTTAAGAAAATTAATTTTCTACATTATCTTCTAACACTGAAAATTCCTGGGCATTGTCAACTGTCTTTTTGTGAATCGCTCTATACCTAATTTAGTGAAAGCTAGTATGCCGTGTTGTGTAAATATTTCTGAATTAAACTACGGAATCTAATTAGTTTTATTTTGTTTCTGAGAGGCTATTTAGTTTAATCGATACGCTATTAAACTCTTGACAAGTTTTACTGCAACACTATTACACACAAAAAGAAACAACAAAAAACAACGCCAAACGTTATTCAATTAACAAAACCACTATCTCACAAAAACAAAAAAGGCTTTCGGGGAAAAATCTTTGTAACATACTTTAATTTCACGGTTGAATTGTATATAACTATTAGAATACTAGCAAAACGTTACCTATTTGGTTCCACTATAAATTGCATTTCTTCCGAAATTTAAGATATATTATCTCAATATTCAAGGAATTAAAGAATACATGTAAATTTTTTTGTTAATTTCTCACGCTTATGAAATCTATATACCGCTGAAGATTTTAAAATTGAAATATTTTCGTTTATTCCTCACGTTAAACAGAGCAAGCAGTAAAAAAGGTACAACTATTTTATACATAAAAGGATCGCGTCTTGTCTATCTTTGGTTGACATATTCAGAGCCCCTCCTTCCCTGCGAGGATTTTGAATTAAAGTACTTTTTAACATACTCGAACACAGCTAAGCCTGATAATTTTCCCAAGACGTTCTTTTACCGAAAGGAGAAATATGTATTTAGTATTTTCTTTAAAGCTTAAAAAAATATTGGGCTTTTCTTAACAATTTAACAGGAGTAAGTCAACATATTTAGATATACCGGTGTCGTTGTGCGAACATCCTGAGCATCTGATACAAAAACGAATATTGTCTTACAAAGCTCGAATATCAGTCGACGATAAGATTCTAATAAATGCACAAAAGAAGGAGAAATAAAGGACATATTGTCGTTTTCTTATTTACCCTCCTTGACTAAAGCGTGGCCGACCAGAACGACGAAACTCATCACGAAGATAAACTGCATTGTAGGCTGCATTTAGCTCGCGGATGAATAGTAGTTCCAACTACTTGAAGCCTTGGAACGTAAAACGAAGGAGATGCTTTCTGTAACATATGAAGGCGTATTTATACTGTGGATTCCAATGCATTGGCGTAGGTTGGAGGCACTTTTAGCTTCCACCTTTCCTTCTTTTTTTTTTTTTGAGACGTAAAAATGTTTTGTTTATCTTTTTCTTTTTTACGAAAGAAACGCGTACATGCATAATACAATTCCCAAGGCAACGAACTCCGAGCTCGTGACGAACATCATGCGCACGACATGGAGGAAGTGTGCAGCTGTTGCATCATTTCGTAACGTGCCTTAAAGGTCAGATAAGACGACAGCTCAGCAGAAAAGGCATTAGAGAATTTAATTGTAAAGTTGTTAATTTCTGAAAATCTTTTTCTGAATTAGAGCGACAGCTGTTACTTGCCCTTTCCTTGGCTTTTTGAGGGCGGGAGCGTAAACACCTTCAGTTTCGCAGCTAAATTTAGCGGAAAAATTGACGTCACACGACTTATGCACCAATTTAGTTTCACCACTAACTTTGGCGGGAAAATTGATGTCACGTGACCTGACGTCACGGGACTTGGAGACAAATTCATTTTCCCCTCTAGCGGAAAATTAACGCCACGTGACATCCACCACTCTAGTTCCCCCGCTAAATTTAGCGGAAAAATTGACATCACGTGACTTATGCACCACTCTAATTTCCCTGGTAAATTTGGCGGCAAGACAACATCACGACCTTAAAATCATTGATTCACCAACAACATATCGACGCTAAATCAAGAAAACATCATTTCAACATCACATCACCATATGACGAACGATCGGCGCAATATCAATCAATCGTCATCGGCATATTCTCGAATAAGCAGCACAGATGTCGCCTCCTAAACACATGACGTCATGTGATCGTCGGGCAATATTTATAAAATTTTACGAATCTAGTTTGAAAGTTTAATAGTTAAAGTGTTCAAAATACGAGGAAAACTTTGTAGTTCCTACGTGTATATATGCCATCCCAATGTCCACAACGTTTCGCTTAAACGTTATGAACGTTGCGCCCATCATTTCTCGCATATCCTGTACTATCAGACCTCTAGAATTTTTTAAATGCGATTAAAGTATATCAGTACATCAATGGGGTATTGCTCACAATGTCGGTAACTATGATATTACAGGAACTAAAATGTAAACAAGAAGAAGAACGTAATTGAAAAGCATGCAACTGCACGATAAGTGTGATATTAGTGATAATATAGTAAGGGTGCAGTCGAGCTGATGAATGTTAACCATGTTGAATAAACCTGAGAATGGGGCAGAAATGAACCTATAAGTGGAATGAATAGAAAAGTACAGGACAACGTCTCAAACTCAGCTACCAGGTTCATTTAGTCCGCCTCCTTATATAGCGCACAATCAGCCACCACTAACACAAATGGGCAACCTCTAACGAGTTCAAACGCCAAACCCTCCAATCAGCCACCACTAACACAAAGGGAAAACCTCTGAACAGTTTAAACGCCTAACCCTCCAATGCTCAAAGTTGTACTATGGACGGCCTTCAAGCCGATTCACCGAGATAACTCTACAATCTCCCCCAAATTTAACAGGACGATCAGTGTTTACTGTTTTCTAACAAAGGTTCACAAAACTAATTATGTCCTCTCAACAGAAAAAGAAAAATTAATTCCAGCGATGAAGGAATGACACACACCGACCCTAGAACGGGGCAAAGGTGTTCAGTACGCACCTCCTAATCACAGAAAAAAATATACGTGTATGTATTTTAAAAGCTTTTTTTTTAATTTTTATCGAACTCTAGCGAAGCCTGACTTATGCAATTACCCTAGAGATTTTTATCCGGCCCGTCTGCATTACTAGTCTTATAGCATCATTCCTCTCCATGTGAATGATTTCTGTCTCCGACCAAATCGCAGTGCAGTTGTTATATTCGTGGACATGTTTTGTGATTTCTGAGTTCGGTGCACCTTTCTTGACGTTTCCTTTGTGTTCAGTTAATTTGTCGTTGATGCATCGTGATGTCTGTCCTACACACTTAAACCCGCATTCCAGCGGTATCTTATACACAACGCCATTCTTGCAATTTACCTTTTCCAGATGGTTCTTTTTGGTGTTATTCGCACCTGTTTCAAAGGGCGTCACTCTACTGAGTTTAAAATCCGAACTAAAAACCGTATCTACTCCAAACTGTTTCGCTCATGCCTTCAAGTTGTGAGAAATATTATGAAGATTTGCTGTGATCCCATCTTTTTTCATGAAATTTCTCGGATTATCTTGACTGTTAGATTATATTGACAATGCTTCTCGCTGCTGCTATAGATGTTAAATAGAACTAAATATCAGCAAGTGTAAATCTATGAGAGTGTACCGTCAAAAATAACATCCGCCATTCTTATCACGTCAGAGGTTCTACACTAGAAACCACACCTTCCTATAAATATCTTGACGCACATTTTGCTGACATTCTTTCCTGGAGCACTCATACCGTAAATGTAATTAACAAAATGCAACCGTCTGCTATTCTTTCTAAAATAAAACATTTTCTTCTTGCCCCTTTCTTATTTAAACTATTTCTTCATAAAACGTTACTTCGTAGTAAATTGGAATATTCTGCCGCTCTTGCGGACCCCACCAAAACGCTTGCTTAATGAATACAATTCATCCAAAACCCCCATCTCGCCCAATTCATATTTTATAACTATCACCGCAAACCTTGCATACCAGCAATGGAAGTAACCTCGAGTATTTCGCAGAAACGTATCACGCCTGTTTTGTTTATATTAACTTTATCCTTATATCCCAACATGGAGTCAGCTTCTTTATTAAACCACCTACCTTGCGTATCATCCCGTGTCGATAATCAAAATAGAGTAGGCATGTCCCACTGCTCTTTCTTCACCTTTTTATTAGTCTTTCCTAGCCATCACAACTCTGGTATTGGAATCGATTTCCCGCAGTTATCATCGGCATCAGCGAGAGCGCTTAATTTAAGGATTATTTCCTATATTTTATTTTGCGTTCTGATTAGCTCTGCTTCTTTTTATGTGTGAAGCTGCAGAATGTTTTGTCTGTATGTAAATCAATCTTTATCGCCCAGTCCCTTCTCTATAACGCCTTCGTGCCATGTGAGAGGAACTAATAAATTAATAATAAAAAAGATCTGCGTACATCGTGCGTAGGCGATGAAGAGGTGACTCACCTTCAGGTAAATATGTGAAATAATTATGTACACCTAAAATTGTTTGTACCTCATTATACTTAATCAAGCAGGATTACCTCGTTACAATTAGTAGAATAAATTTGTAATATTTTTAATTACTATTTTAAACAAATGACTTAAGTTCATTGTGCCTCTCACAAACATATTAGCTTAATATTCCGAGGAACGTGACGACGTCGACTGGACAGTGGAACACACGACCCTCTCGCGCGATGCCCCACGTGCTGACCCGGCCTCCATAAGTCCTTTGTGTGTTCTATCATTTTGTACTGTATTGTCATCTCTGGTGATGTCAGTCTCATTCAAACAATATGTTGAATATAGCTCTATAATAAGTCAAGAGCTACAAACAAATACATATAAAATGTAAATAAAATAAAATGTAATAATAAGAAAATGAGCGCAAGCAAAGTTATAGTCCCTATTTGCTCCTGTAGCAGTAAACACTACACCCTTTCGCGGCCATGGCTAGGCTTCTAACCAACAGAGCAGGTGGTACGAATCTGTAATATGCTTAATGTTAATATGTGCGCGACAGATAATGTGACCAAGGAATATGATATATCACCTCGAGCGCAGCGCGCTCGAGGCCTAACGGTTGTCGCGCTTGCCTTCCATGCAGGAGGCCAGGGTTCGATTCTACACATTTTTGTTTACTCTGTAATGAGATGTTCTGGTGAATTCGAGAACCGTCTTTTTGTTTCGAGGTCAGAATGTTCTTCGCGCCGAATCGTCTACGTCGATTGTTCCGGAAGCCAACGCGTGTACATAAGGGGCTCCGCGTGGGGAGCCGGGGTCAGTCTCACCCTAACGCTCGAACCTGCTGTTACACCGACTTCAACGCCCGCGACGCTCTGTTCTTACCTTCTGCTTTCTCTTTATTTTGGGCACAATTTCGCCCCAGTAAACGTTAATTTCCTCCTGTTTATTCATTGTTCTTTTAATCACCACCCGTGACAATATTATTTAGGGTGCCCGAAGCTGGCCTTCCGCTGTAAACAAATCGAAAAAATTCGTGCCTCTACACATAAAGCCCAAACGCTCACCGAATGTTCAATGAGCAAATCAGGTTAGTCAGTGAAATTTCCAGGCACAGTTCTCTTTCTTTAAAAAAAATATGAGAGCAGTAACTTGCCAAAGTCAAGAATGGCAGCGCTCCCAGACGACCGAATTAGCGACACTATTTACTTGTGGCGCCATCTTCCAAAAGGCGCATCGGCCTACGCACTCTGTTGTCTGTTCGCTACGACTATCGCGAGATGGCGGCAGAAGTAAATAGCGTCGCTAAGTCCATCGTCTGTGAACGCGGCTAACCAAGAATTTGGCAAGTTTTTAGTTCTAATTTTTTACAGGAATAAAACTGGACCTTGAAATTTCATAGAATAAATTATAGATATAAAGCTCACCCTGGCGGCTGCTAACCGCTCTTTCGGATTTCTCAAGCGTAACCTTAAACAGGCTCCTCCTAACATACGCAACCTTGCCTTTTCCACACTAATACGCCCAAAATTAGAATATGCATCAGCCATTTGGTATCCCGAACATGCTTACATCATAAACGACATTGAATCACTGCAAAATCGTGCCGCTCGCTTCATATTTTCAGATTATTCACGTCATTCCAGCGTCACAGCACTAAAACGCCGAGCAGAGCTACCCGAACTACTCCATCGTCGCAAACTTTCACGCCTATCTCTTTTCCATAAACTTTACCACCACGCGTCACTTCACGGTGATTTCTTCGAGC